CAATGCATACTAACACCATGCTATTAACACCCCAATATTAACACCATGCTGTGTCCCTGGTGATGCACAAGATTCCTCCAACTGGAAAATGTATTTAGCTTCAGCAGATTCTGTTTGGTTCTGCTGGCAATGTAGTTTTACAATATATTAAGATTAAAAATAAGTTGACACTCCTTATACTTGTCCATGACTGTCAGCTAGTTGTTGTATTTTAGTCTAACTGCTTCAGTGTATGTGTCTGTCTGTATCTGGCTTTATTAGAAGCATGATCACAAAAAAAGAAGAGTGATGTGCAAACATTAAAAGGCAGTATTACCACAACAATAAAAAACCTTTAAGAAAAATATGATTCATAGCTCAATGCCTACAGCGAGACAGACGGGAGGATTAGAGAAACCAGTTTATTTCTGGTTGGTATATGAAATAAAAAGCAGAGCTGAAATACACCAACAACAAACCTTTTGAAGCCACAATATTGTACAGTAATTATGAGCTAAGGCATTCTACACATAATGCTCTTTCAGGTTTCACCATTCAGTATTTGTCTGAATAACACAAAGGAGGGAAAGTCATATTGTGTCTTTATTAACCAACAAAAGTCAAACACAGCACTCACACATATGCAAACCCCGCATACACGAACAAAGCCATTGTAAAAAATAGGAAGTCAGCATGCATGGATCAGTCCGACCTGGGTGCAAGGGATCTGAATGAAATTAATTATATATCTTTCCTATTCCCTTCCATAAATCCCTGTGATTGGTTTTGGCAACCCAAGAGCTAGATCTCTGATTAGCGAGGAGAGCTTTATAAGTATCACACTGGTGCCACAGCTTCATAAATAGCCCTGCTGTGTTGAAGCCAGGCAGGCAGGGTAGAGGTAGAGGAAGACAGAACTCACTCTCAGTGACAATGGCTTACATTTCTCTTCTTCTACCCACTTATGTCTTGCTTTCCTTTACCTGTAGTTCCCATTTTTCTCAGGTCCCGGGGATTCCTTCCTACTTCCACAAATTAAAATTGAACACTTGTGCACACACACAACAAAATGCGCTTCTCCTTAGGGAACCGCAGCACACGCGAGTGGAAAACATTGGCCATCTGTAGGCCTCTCAAGCACTGCCTCTTTACCAGCTCATCAGAGTCTGACAAATAGAGCTTGTATAACAATGATGCCAACATTACATACTCAATATCCTTCGGTGATGCATCTTTCAGTCATTCCCTGTGTTGTCGGGTTTTTGTTAACCAGGAAAGAAAAACTATGAGGTACTCTAGACAGGCAATGCTTCAGGAGCTGTCCGGTGCTGAAACTACATAAAGAGCCCACAGGGAGCTTTTCTTTTTCTGAGGATTGGCTCAGACAGGAAAACATTGGAATAATAGTAAAACAAACAGCTATGTAGTATTTACCGCTCCTCCAGGGTGTTTTAGGAAGTTACTGATAGAGACGCAATCCAATTCAGATCTACTGACATGCCACCTGACTTTAACAAAGGAAGCATCACACCCAACTGGTGAGACAAAGGAAAGGCCAGGAGAGGAAAGGTAGCTGAAAGGCAATCCCCCCTCCTCACCCCCTCCTCCAATCACTGAAAGATACTCAACCGTGCCCCTGTCATTAATTCAGCAGACAAAAACTGTTACCAGATGTCATTATTTATTTATAGTATTTAATAGGGAAAATGCTTCCTTTGAATAATACATTTGGTGGGAGAGGGGTGCAGAGCTGGGGTTTGGGTAGGGGAGGGAGGTGGGGGGGCTTTGATGAATATTCACAAGCTGCGTCTGGAGGGATTGTGGTAAACTGCCTTTTTTTTTCTGCCTCTGTGCCTCCTGGGCTTTGTCTGCTCTGCCACTGGCCATGATGGCCCCAGCTGCGCTGCTCATTTGCTTGGCTCTAGTTGCGGTGGCTAGTTCAATATGGCTAATGCCAGACTATTATATTATTAGCCAAGGCAAAGCTAGCAGCGGCCCACTTAGGCTCTGCTCCATCTGCTCTGTGGTGTCAGGCAGGAGGAGTGGAAGGACGCGAAGCTGTCGATCAAGCAGACTGACGTGCTCCGGTGAGCAAAGGTACAGCCTTCATTAAGCCGATGAAACCACCCCATGACTGGGGGGTACGGCCGCGCCAAGCCTAGAAGATGAACTATGATCGTATGTGCGAACAGACTCCACTGTCACATACATGTGCACGGACAAACCTGAACTTAAACAGACAGAACAAAGTGCACACACTTTCATTTATCCAAACAGAAATTAATATGTGTGTAGGCTGCTGTGAGTGTTTTCACTGCTTAATTGGATCAGGGTTATCTAGTTCTGTAAATTAGTCTCTCTCTGCAGGAATCTTTCAGCATCCCTCCTACCCCTTCTGCCACTATATCCCAAAAAGCTAAGTCCATTTCCAAAAGCACACAAAAAGAAATCCTACACAAATAATAAACATATTTTTTTCCACTGTAGAATTACAAGGATTTAAAGCCAGCTATTAGCAACAGCAGGATCACAACTGACTCATAGCACCACACACTTCCAACTATAGGATTTGTAGCTGGAGGCCCTCTCCAGTCAAACAGCCAAACTCAAGCCCAGAGATCCTCCGTACTGATACTGTGCAGTTGCTTGGCTGCTCTCCCTTGTTTCATCCCAAACCAGGGTGGCTTTGTTTGTTTTAAGCATAGCAGAAGGTTCATTGCATGAATATTAATGTCTTACGTTTGCAAAATTTCTGTAAAAATTCACAGTTGCCTATTCACTTGCTTGGACACTACTCAAGTGCAAAATTGAATTCTTGCCCATTCACATCATCTGCTACAAGTGTCTGCACTGAGCTGAGCGCAGCCAGGCAGAAAAGACACATTATTGAAATATGTGACAACGCAACCTCGTGCAAAGAGAAGATAATTCTGTAAAATTCTCCTAGTCTGTTACTTCCCTCCCTCACTCTCTTTTCTTTCTTTTTTTCTTTCTTTCTTTCTTTCTTTCTGCTGAGCTGCTTTTGGCCTTGACCACAGTTGGAGTAGAGCCACTAAGAAGCAATGAACCCCTCTCTAAAGGAATATTGTTCATCCATTGTAATGCCTCATCACACAGAAAATGTGAAAATAGGGGCAGTGAACTGGCAATACCACAGAAAGGAACACCTCTTCTGAGAACAATGGCGTTAACAGCATAGCCTGTGATCCAGTGCAAGAGTGATAGACTTCAAACGGAGCGAGACGAGAGAAAGAAACAGACAGACAAGAGGGGGAATGACAGAAAGACAAACACAGAGACCTTCTACAATATGCATGAGAGTGCAAGAGGCAGAAAGCAAAAGCAGTTAAATGCGGATGCAGATCATATTAGCACAACAGGAGCTGACACAATTCAGGAACTGGCAACAGAGGTGACCAGCAGCTCACACACACAAGTATTCTACACACAACGGCATACACATGGCTGCCCATTCAGTGAGAAGGGAACATTTTATGTACAGTCAGACACAGAATGAAAATGAAGCTGGGTGCTTTGTGATCTCTGTTGTGTTGCTCTGCATCAGCTGGGAAACAAAAGCTCCTGATCCATCAGCCAGCCTCTCTGCAGGTACTGGCTTGGCTCTGTACATTAAGGATCTACTCTGCCAATGATAAGCCCAAATACAGGATCACACGTGTGTGGGCCTGAGGGGAGGTTGGGAGAGATAAAATATCAGAGAAAAGGAGCGTGGGATCAATTCTGCCAAAGACAGCTAGATACTGTAGGTAGACTGTTTGTGTGTGTGTGTGTGTGTTCATGTGTTGCACCAATGTGTGTGCAAATACCAGACACATACATGGAGAGCAAGAAAGACAAAATAACAGGCCAAAGGAGAGCAAGAGAAGGAGGGAGAAAGACTGGTCTAGTAACCATTTCACAAACTGCTTGGTTGAATCTCTCCTTAATTTCCCAGGGGGTCATGAGCAACTCCGCTCCTACTCTCGCTGCCATTCCCTATCTGACACGCTGCCATACACTCCTAAAATGAAGACCAACAGAAAAAAAACAAAGTTTTTTCTTTGCCATCCTCAACAACAACATCCCTCATTGCCGGATATCTCACTAAAGGCATGTTTGTGGTAGAGGACTGTGGTTCGGACCTCCTCCACTTTGATCAGTTTGTAGCCTAGGGGTGCTGCTGTGCGGCGGCAAAGTTTCCTCCAACAGAAATAATTGAGAGACCCATTTGGCGGAGTGCAAGTGCCATCCAAGATAATGTCTCGGGTTTCCCTCTTTGCTCCGCTGACAGCACCGACAGCCCCGGCTGCGCTGCCTATCGACTTTCACCCGATCCAGCAGCTCCCTCCGTCTCCTATCTACCTCACCTGGAGGCTTACAGGGGTTTTTACTTGGAGAGGTGGAATGATGGTCATACAGATCCAAATCCGTCAGTGACCCTGTTATGCTGAATATCTTTTAAAGTTGTTCAGCATAATAAACTTCCAAATGGGGGGAATGATACTTTAGCCAGCCACATTTATTACACGTTAACAGATGCAGCATAATTGGACAGTCATGACATCATGCAAACAGGCAAAAAATGAGGTACACTGGGGTAAGACAATAGTAGAGTTACCCCTATTTCCTCTATTTCAGGTGGTATGAATGAATTTGGTAACAAGAAAGGCATCATTTAAAAAAAAGGTCTTATACAAAATTAAAATACATTTCCAAACATGGCAAAATGGTTCATTTTTCTAAAAAAACATCCCAATATAAGCTTAAAGCAGAGCAATAAAAAATGATTTCAAGGGTGAATGACCCATCACTTGTGTCTTCTAGTACACCTGTATATGTGATCATAGCCATAGATCTTTGTCTTGAACAGTAATGACAAGCTCATCACCGACTGTAGTCAACATAAGCTGTAAAACACAGTTTATTCTTGATTGTGTGGGAGTGCAATAATATAAAATGGACTAAGCTGATTCTCTAGTCAAAACGCCAAACAAAAAAAAAAAGCAGCTAAAACAACTCGCCTTCACCTTTCGGATGAAGTGAGATCCAGTCCAGAGGAATGTAGAGCGATGCTGTAGCCTTAGAGGAGCGTCGGTCTGATACGGTGCAGGTAGACGGGGGAGCTGAACCATCCAACGACGGGCAAAAGCCCCGCAAGTGCGGGTGTGAAACGAAGCAGTTCTGGGTGTCGGGTAGGGGAGGCAGAGACCGGGTAGAGCGCGGTGTCGCTTGTGCATGCAGTATAGGTGACTGTCTGGAGCAGTGTGTGTCCGCGCTTCTTTCGGAGACGAGCAGAGGCAGCGGCCGCGACGAGTGGATGAGCGCCAGAGTGCTGCTCACCTCTCCAGCAGCTGAGCGCTACTGAACAAAAGAGTGCTCCGCAGGCTCTCTATTCAAATAGCAGGAGAGGGATGGAGGGGGAGGAATAGTGCGGAGGAGGAGGAGGAGGGGGGTCTGGTCCTGAGGTTGACGTAAAGACCAGAAGTTCCTGCATCCAACGCGGTCTTATACCAAAACTTAATTCAAAAACCGCCTCATATAACTACATTTGCGGGGTCAAATCTGGCTGATGCGTTATTGTTTGCCCGGTGTGATAAATTATCTCATGTGTGACACCCACACAGCTATTAGTCCTGATCCCCTGATGTAATCTATAAGACAGGGAGGGAGGGAGAGGGTTTGGTAAGAAAGACGTTTTTTTTTTGAGTCTCTGGCCCCAGTGTAGGGCCTGTAATCCCGTTTTGCCTTTTGTCTGAAACACTGTAATTAATAACCTCAGGGATAGAATTACCTTGTTTGGCAGTGCAGCAATGACCTCGGACCTGCAATGGGCTAGCTTAGACTATTAATTAGACCAGCCTTACGCTTAAATTGCCTAGGATTAAGCTGGCAAAGGTTGAATCAACATTTTTCACCTGATTGAGAGTTTGACATGAAACATACAGCAGGGCCCGATTGCCTTCCAGACATTGTGTTCGAAGCATACAGTTAACATGAAGATCATTATTATGGTAAAAGCTTAGCTGCAGAGTGATGCCTAGGGTCATTTAAAAGAGCTTGCAAAGTGGTGTTGCTATACATTCCGACTGCTTTGTTGCATATAAAGAATAATTATCCCCCACGAGACGCCACGCCGCGTGCAGGGAGATTAACGCTTTGTTCAGCAGAGTTGTATAATTTACGCATAGCTCCGGCTGCTTGCATTGCTTTTTTTTGTTGGTATAACAAAAAAACAAACTGCTATGTTTTTTCTATAGGCGGAGTGTGTTGTCATCAAAAGCCAGCAGAATACTTTTTATAACTTGAGATGGGGATGTTGTAATGAAGGTCACTGAACGGGAGAAAACAAAAAAGTGCGTCTCAAGGAGCTGTCCACGGTGCTGAAGCGGGTTAGTTTAGCAACAATACAGAGAGTTGACATGAGCATGGACAACGTGTAAGACCAGGATATAGCTCAAATAAATCATTAGCACGTCACTAATAAGAGTTGCATGGTGAAAAGTCATCCATAATCTTAGTTTCAAAAGCTCAACCTCATTTAAAAATCACATCTTTCCAAACTTTGCATATGTTGTCTTTGTAGCACAGTATGTTCCAGACACCACAACAACTTGACTATTTTGCATAACGTTTTCTGTAGCTAAAGGTAATGAACCTAAACACAACACACAGAAATCTTTGATTTAGCCTCTATTAGAGATATATAACAATAAAGAGAATTTCAGTTTCAAAGAGAAGGTGAAGATGATTCTGACTGATTTTGGTGACCTCCTCTCTTTTTGCCTTACCTCATCACCATCAGGTCCAAATTGCTTCATGACCTAGTCTACAGTAGTTGGAAAGCATATTCAATTGTAAAAGAAAGACAAGAAAAGGTAAAAAGTGATAAAAGTAATCATGGAGTGGAATTTAAAAATGACTAAATGCTGACCTCATCTATGTAAATGCAATGCTGACAAAGTATACCTTGAAATTGTGTTTGAGGATGTCAGCAAGTTCTGATGCTCAAGTCCTCAGGCTGGCTCTTCTAGAGGTGAAGCCCATGACACTAAAGCCTGCTTTGACACAAGCATTAGCCCTGGACCAGTAAAAAACTAAAAGGCTAAACAATGGAGAGATCTAGACCGGACTTATCCTACAAGTATATGTGTTATGTAATCAGGTGATAGTCCCCTGAGTGATTTAAAAAGTCAGTATCTTAAAGTACATAATAAAAATAACAGCAAATAAAGGGGGTTTAAAACAGGTGTAATGTATTCTGTTCTTCTGGCCATAGTCAGCACTTGTAATGCTGCATTTTGTATGGTCTGCAGTTTATTCAAAGCTTTGTTACACCAGAAAAGAGACCATTAGTTGAGCCAGTTAGAGTTAAAAGCATGCAAAAGCTATTCAGTAACCGTGAGAGAAATGTATATTTCTAAGACTGCAAAAGACAATTTAGAGATAAAACATTCACATCAGAATCAAAAACTACATTGCGACATTAAACACTGCATTGTGCAAAGAAGTGTATGAGCCTGTTTTTGAGCATCAAAGTGAAATAACTCCCAATATGATAAGCCTTATTTGGCAATTTCACTCATAGTCAATTTACACACTCATGTACTGAGAATATTAACCAACCACACAGTGACGTACATGACAGTACAGCCACACAGCAGATATATACAGTTAAATGGTATTGGGAATATTATTTGATTGAAGATGAGATGAAAAAACATTAGACACAACTTTAATGATCACTGCCGGGTAAAGACTTTTAAAGACGCTACTCATCACTGAGTACAAATCATCTGATGTTTTCAGACAGTTTGTTGATGGCATAATTGCTGTGCTGTGGGGACAGCTGAAGTCCTCATTCTGTTCAAAGCAGCACATGAGAGTTACACTCAAACTATTGTTGGTTGTGTGTTTGAGACCGTGGTCGGCATGAAAGAATAGCTGACGCCAGAAAGACTCTCCAGTGGGTTTGACACCAAAAGCACTCCAGCGCCACAAACCCTAAGCCCATGCTTATCAGATCTCTTCACAGACAGACTTCAAAAGGGCAAGACCTTTTGATGATGACGATGGTAGAGATGAAGATGAAGACTACTGAGACAGTGGTTCCTTTCTCTCTGCTTACTCCTTCTTATTCTTTACCTCTCTGCTCTTTCTGCTTCTCCACTTCCCGGAATGACCAGAAGGCAATCAAACTACAAACAAGAGAGTAAACAAAGAAACAGCTTATATCGATCCCTGGGCTTTATAGCTCTGGGTAAATGTGTTTATCTTGTGTAGCCACTACATTATACTTAGATTAAATACATATTTGATGTGGTGGCTGGAGCTATAAGCAATGCACTGCTTGGAAGCATCCTCTGGCAAGAGTTTATTACATTTTGTTAATACCTTAATTAGGCAAAGCATGAGAGAAATTAATCCCTGCAGAATTGGCTTCTTAAAACACTGTCCAGCCACCCCTGAAACCCAACGGAATAATTAGGCACAGCACAGAAATGTGTTTGTCCCTGAGAGGATTTTGGAATGAAGTTTACTCCTACCTCCTTGTCTGAGACAGGGGCTGGGCTTTTGTTTGGACGAAGATTAAATTCTGAAGGTGTAACAATCATAAAGCCAAAATCTGCTTTATTGACAAGATTAGGGGATTTCGCAGCCCCAGAAACTAAAAAATATCTCAAGATACACTATGTGCATCTTGAGTGCATGTGAATAAAGTCATCAAGACAATGCGCCTCAAAGCCTCGAAATTAATTTATAATGAACATAAGATATATTTGTTAGGTAACTGTCACTTGTTTTATGTCTGGGACTGGAAATGAATGCAAAGGTCAGCAGACATACAGACGCCCAGGCAGACTTCTGCTGTTCAAGCTTTATATTCACTTTGGTTTTCCAATCTTAAATACCCTGTCTCTGTAGCTTCAATCAAAAACAAAAAAAATTTTTTTAAAAGCTGACAAAAAGTGCAATATAATGAGCTTTATCTTTTAAACAATTACTTGAAAACTCCATTTGGCTATGAATCAAATAGTTTATACACTGCATACCATTTTTCTTTAGTCAACTTCATATTACAAGACTAAGAGTCTACAGCCATGCTAGCAGTTGTAAGGCTATACATAGGCACGTCAGTTCTTTGAGCAAAATGCTAACATTAGCATAGTGAAATGCCAATACCAACATGCTGATATTTAGCAGGTATAATACTTGAATCATGTTCATCTTAGTTTAGTGTGCTAGCATGCTAACACGGGCTAATTAGCACTAATAACAAAATACAGCTAAGACTTATGGGAATATCATTAGTTTTGCATATGTTTGGTCATAAACATAAATAAGTATTGACCACATTCAGATTGTGACCTGATGATGGCACTAGAGAAAGTTAACAGTCTCTGTTATTACAAATTAATCCTGAGGGGAAAATGAACATCTGAAACAAATGTCTTGACAATCCATCCATAATTGTTAAGGCATTTTATTCAAAACCACAAATGTCAAGCTCATGGTGGCAATAGAGGAAAAGTCAAAGGGTCACCAATTTCATTAGGGTACGTCCTCTGGGAAACATGAATATCGATACTAAACATTCAATAGGTCTAGGGACATTTTAGTAAGAACCAAAAATGTCAACCTCATGGTGGCGCTAGATGAAATGTCAGGGAATCACCAAAGTAGAATTCATCCCCTGGGGCCTATGTAAGTCTGTGCAAAATTTACTGGCAATCCATCCAATAATTGTTGAGCTATTACAGCATGGACCAAAGTGGTGGAGCGACCAAAAATGTCCCTCCTGCCATGTCGCTTGAGTGGCTACAAACGACAATTACATTTATCCCAAAAAGACTTCTTGCATTGAGTTTAAATTAGTTGAACAGAATAAGAATACATCTAGTGCAGCCAACCTAGGCTTTCTGCTGCTCCTAATTAGCCTGAGAAATCCTTGCATTTTCATTGTCATGGAGATGGAAATACATTTAATAGGTTATATAACCATCCTGAAGAATGGAGGTTAATATTCTGAACATCCAGGATACAGACTCACAGTAGCTGCTTTCATTTAAAGAAAGCTGAAATTGATGCACATCCAGCCAGCGTAAACAACTAAATTGGTGGGGGAGGTTGAGGTGGGTTTTTATCGTATTTGAATGCATGTGCGTGTACATGTTAGAGACAGTGTGAAAAGACTGAGTGGGTTCCACACATTGTTGAAATTCAGTTTCCAAAACTGCATACACACACACACACACTGGCAAACTAACCAAGCTAACCATTTGCTTATGATAGTGATACGGTCATACGCTATTCTATGTTTGTACTTGGTTTGCCTACTGAATACCAAACAAGATCAGAATAAAAGCAATAAAAAACAACTCACAGAAACAGAGGGA